GCTGGCCTGCAGGGCCTGGGGAGGGTGCTGGGTCCTCATGCTGCCCCCCCAGGGCTTGTTCCCGAAGAGCTTCCACCGGAGGAAGAGCCGGCGAGGCGCGGCGTGGCGCAGTGCAGGCGGGAGCTGTGTGCTCCCGGCACCGGGTACCGCGTCTGCCGGGGCTCGTGACCCTCAGCCAGTTCCCAGATGCCAGGCCTCCCCGTGGCCATACTGACATCCAGTCCAAAGACATCATCGCAGTCAGAGGGCAAGCCCTGGCCAGATGGCTCGGTGGGTTGGAGCGCCATCCCGTACACAAGGTAGCGGGTTCAATTCCCAGACAGGGCACATACACACCTGGGTTGTAAATTTGATCTCCGGACGGGGCGCATAAGGGAGGCAACCAATCGATGTTTCTCTCTCACATCAATGTCTGTCTGTCACTCTCTCTCTCTCTCCCTTCCTCACTCTGAAATCAATAAACGGTCAATTCTCCACTTACACAAAACAAGACCTTAACCAGCTAGGTCGCCATTGCCAAACTATCTCCACATTCTATCATTTTCCCAGAATCCCATCCCCCCTAATTCCAGAACTATTTACTGGAAACAAGAAAATGTACAGAAAAATAACGTCTAAAAAAAGCCCTGAATCCCACCACGAGCAGCAGCTGTTATTACATGTACATGTTCCCTCCAAACATTGCACTTTAAATTGCATGCTCATCTGAGACCACTGTTCACATCCTCCTCTTTTCATGCGTTAGAACCACAGCACTTCCTGTATGTTATGAGCATGATTCATAGGTGTAAGTGCACTGCCACATCCCTGGAACCCTGCCTCCCCGACATGCCATCATTTCCTTTATCTACATCCCCAGTCTCCAACCCTCATGCAGGACGCTGCCAGACACTCTAACCACCACCCTGTGCACGAAGTGTCCCCACCTTCTGAAGGGATGTATGAGGAGTTCCTGAGAGGCAGGATTGCTGAGTTACAGGATGTGAGCCTGTAAAACACGCCAGGTCGCGCCACCAAGCTGCTTTCCAGACGGCGGGCAGCGGGGTATGTAAGCGCCTCTCTGCAGTATCCTAA